TGCTGCAGGCGGGATCCAGGACGCTGCAGGAAGGCTGTGGATGCTGCCCAGCTCCAGGCCCACAGCACTAGGTGCCGTTGCTCGGCCACCACTGCCAGCCCAGCCCAGCCCAGCCCAGCCCAGGCTGAGCCTTTCCCTGCTGGCAGTCCTGCAATCCCGCAGTTGTTGCCACAACTCATCCCCCGGGAAAATCACCCCTTTTCCTCTCTGCTCCGGAGCCTTCCCAGCGCGGCACGGGCCGGCATTCCCACCTCTCTGTGTTCCCTGGGAGCAGCAGCGCCAGCCCTTGACTTTAAGGCTGCTCAGCCTATGGAAACAGCTGCTTTATGGCACCGGGATGTGTTAGAACCCCCCTCCCGGGACTCCAATCATTCTCTTTCCTACCTTTGGGGCATTCCCGGAACAATACCGAGCTGACGCCTTTCATTCAACCACCGCAAAGCACTTTGCAAACTTTAATTAAAGCTCTCAGCCCTCTGGGAGCAGGGAAGTTGCCTTATCCCTAAATTATAGAAGGGGAAACTAAGGCATAAAGCAATTAAGATGCTTGAGTGAGGCTGTGTGGAAGGCAGGGGAGGGTGTGCAGTGGTTCTCCCCGGCTCAGTTCACCTTGAGTACGGCCATCTCCTGCGGGATGAGGCTCCCCTGTGATTCCCAGCTGGATGTTTCCAGGCTGGATGGACTCCCTGACCCTTCCAATATCGTGTCCCTTACTCCAACAGGCCAGAAGCCACAATGAGAGGAGTGTGAGAACCTCACAGTGGGCAACTGGGGGATAAGCTGCCCCCTACAATGCCTCGTCCTGACTCCGGGAGTAATTGGTTTAAACCCCCCCGAGCCCAGGGTTTTATCCCTTCCCAAACCCTCAACACATTAACCGTTGGAATGCTGGGGGTTTGTGCATCCAACTGCTGGGACACTCCCGGGGTCCCTTCCCAGCCATTCCCCAGGGCTGGCTCAGCCCTCCAGGGTCATCACCAGCCCCCTGCTCCTGGTGTGGGAGAGGGACGGTCCCTGGACAGCTCCTGCACCTAAAACACAGCTCCCATCCATGGTTTGCCCTGCACACTCCAACTCAACACCCAGGACATCCCGCTCTGCTTCAGGAATGCCAACAGCAACTGGAGAACCAGCCCTGGCTGAAAGGTGACATTGCCACCACCACGCTGGGGACAATCCAAATCCAGTGGCTTCCTGTGGAGCTTCCCCTGGACAATGACCCAAACCCTGCCAAAGG